GCTAGTGTTTATTAACGGAAACATGTTTGGGGATGAAAAAAGTATAGATAAGGTATAAATTGTTGTACATTTGCGTTAACTTAGAAATTTGTTTTATTTTCACAGCTTAATGGAAATTAGACTTAAGTATTTAATATAAGTTTCAACTTGATATGTCTACGCGTTCATAAGGAAAAGGATAATAAGTTTAAAATTATTTGAAAAAAAAAAAAAATATGTGATCTAACTAAAAATTTAAGGTTTTCGGAATTTTTCTGTTATAATATAACATATTAACATATTATTATTACACATATTATGTGCTATAAAACATTGCTTCATGCCGAATTTCGACATTCTAAATCGACTTGAAGTACCCTATAGGTTTTGATTCCCTCGCAAGTAGGTAGTCGCGAGTTTGAAAATATGCGGCTTAAATTGTTATTATTTCTTTCGATTGCGTTGACATAAAAGTTTGATTTTGTTACAGTTTAAAGGTATTATAGACTTAAGTATTTAATATGAATTTTAATTTAATACCTCAACGCGTTCATGAGATAAGAAGTAGTAACTTTGAAATTTTCAAAATTGTCAAAAATATTTTATTTTTATATGATGAAACTAAAAATTTATGGTTTTCGTAATTTTTCCTATATCTGTACTATAAGACGTGACTTCGTACGAAATTTCAAGATTCTAAGTTCACGGGAAGTACCCTGTAGGTTTTGATTCCCGTGCGAGTTTCGAAAATTTGCGGAAATTTGCGGCCTAAATGGCTGTATCTTTTGATTGCGTTGGCTTAGAATGTTGATTTTTCTACAGCTTCCAGGCACAGTAGTCCTGAGTATCATATTTCAGTTTGATACCTCCACGCGTTCCTGAGAAAAACGGTCTTGACAGACGGACGGACAACAAAGTGATCCTATAAGGGTTCCGTTTTTTTCTTTTGAGGTACGGAACCCTAATATTATAATAATTTATAATGATAATGATGTTATCGGTTTATCAATGTTATCACATTTTGATAACTGCAAAAAAGGGGCTAAAGCCTTTTTTTCGTATTATTGTTGTTGTACGTACAAAATTATTCTTTTTCTTGTCCCGCTATTACAGCGGTGGCTTCTCGTCGTTGTTATTGTTTTTTTTAAGTCGCATTGAGTGCATAGTATTTATCAAAATTATTATTATTATTATTGTGATCCAACAATTATTGTTATTTATATCGTCAGTCCGTTATTGTAACGGACAACGCAACTTTGTGTTTCAAAAATAAATATCCATCGTTACCAGCAATATTCGTGAGTTATTCTAAATTAATTATTAACATTCGTCTGGTTGCTGGAAATTGTCCGACATCGGATTTGGTGCCATATGTTTTGCGTCCAGCCATTCAACCGAGTGGTGTGTGAGGCCGTCACGGTCGTCCAGATCTGTCTCCAGAGAGTTGTTTTGCGTAAGTCCGCCAGCAACAAATACGTTGTGTGAGAGGCTGCCCAGGTCGTCCAGTGTGTCGGGTCACTCCTCAGAGGTACTACCATTATACATCAGTCTGCCTTAATTTTAAGCTAGTGTTAAGTCCCTGATCTGTGTGAGCTCTGTGGTCATTGCACCAAACCGATTCGACCACAGAGACCCCCCTCGATAACTAAACTGTACTTCTTGACTCCCATGTACTACCCCCCGTCCACGTCAAAGATTTCGTCGTCGTGAAATTGATTGCCTAACGTCACTTTGGTCAGGCGTAGATTGGGTTGCCTACTCAGAACAGTAGTAGGCGTTCTCTGACGTTTCCCAAACTTGGGTCTTTCTCTCTCGGTTCACACCGAGTGGTCCTTCGGTCTGTGCCCCCCGTTCCGGGCGTATTCAATGCACACAGGATGGTCAGCCCTTTATATATTTTTTTATAAGAACCGTGTAATAAATATTTAGGATGTTTGACTTAAAAGTGTATAGTAAGTTAATCATCGTTCATAACCTTGATTATTGCAATACAATACACCACTGAGTAATAAGAATTTCTAAGAGAATTATCTAGTTAAATGTTAAAAAGGTGGGGCAAGTGGGTGTCGATCTGCTGTACAGTAGGTTATAAGTGGGTCACTGTATAATGGATGGTATTACATTTGAATTCAATGATATTATATCATTGTATAAGAAAAACGATTAAGGAGACGGTATGTCCTTCTAGGTATAAGACATATTATATACGTTTATATCTATGGTAATAAAAAAAATTGACCTATAATGAATTCCAAATTAATCATATCACAATATCCATTACGAACTTTTAGCGCGTTATACACCAACAACAAACCCTGATACTATCATAGATATATTATAGTACCTAGTATACTCATAAAAATTTAATTTCACTTTCCAGTAGACATTTTTTTTTTTTTGATAAAGGTAGATAATCTTATAAGGAATCTTGTATTACATTTTAAAATCTTATATTTCAAAAGAAACATTTTTACGGATTCTTAACTCAAAAAAATTTGATAATTTTCGTGATTTTTCCATATTTTGTCAATGTTTGAACTTTAAATTCTTATTAAAAAAAATTGTGACTAAGGATTTTTAATATTTATCATCTTCCTTTGAAACAATATACTAGGAGCCTTTTAATATTCAAGCTTTTTTAAACAACAAGTAAAATTTTATTGATATTTCTAGAAAAAAACTAAAAAAAATTGGAAAATGAAAATGTGCCTAAACAGTTCAAAATAAATCAAATGTTTATATTAGAATTTTCTATACACGATAACATTTTCAAAAATGTTTTGATTTATTTTGAACTGTTTAGGCACATTTTCATTTTCCATTTTTTTTAGTTTTTTTTCTAAAAATATCAATAAAATTTTATTTGTTGGTTAAAAAAGCTTAAAAGCTAAAAAATTTAATACAAGGCTCTTACCATATTGCTACAATGGCATTTGATAAAAATTAAAAATCCTTAGTCACAGTTTTTTTTTATAAGCATTTAAAGTTAAAAAATTTACAAAATATGGAAAGATCACGAAAATTAGTAAATTATTTTGAGTTAAGAATTCGTAAAAATTTTCATTTTTACATCTAAGGTTTTAAAATGTAATACAAGATTCTTTATAAGATTATCTACCTCTATCAAAAAAAAAATGTCTAAAAGAAAGTCTAATTAAATTTTTATGAGCGTTTGAAATTCAAATTTTTACAACATTGGATATTCTCTCGATTTCTCTTTTAGCGATTTCCTTATTTTGTCGTAATTCGAAAACAAATAACTGTATATACATGAAAATTTCACTGAATGTTTATATTAGCATTTCCTATACACCATACAATTTTGAAAATATTTCGAGCTGTTTACGAACATTTTCAGTTTCCAATTTTTTGGTTTTTTTATTCTATAAATAACAATAAAGTTTTATCTAATGGGCCAAAAAGTGTAAAAATTTAATACAAGGTCCTGATATATTGTTACAATATCACTTATCAGTTGAAAAATAATTGTTTACAATAAAATCTAACGTATTTATTTATACTGTATAGTGTATATGTACTCAAAAGTCAAAAGTAAAAATGACGGCTGTGACAGACAGCTGTAATAGTACCTACCTACTTTCAGTCTGCACAGAGAGTGCCACAGACGCACAGTAAATTGAGAACTGAGAATTAGAAAATAAAATGATCATATTTTAATAGTATTCAAAAACTGTACGAATGTGTGGTACAACTAATATAGGTAACTATTATATTATAAGAATAGGTATTGGTATACGGCTTGCATTATTTTAGATAAGTTATAAATTTATCTCATGAAATTTTTTAAATGTTTGATCAAACACAGTTTGAATTTGCATATTTTAGGAAAAGTGTACATTTGAGCGATTTTTCGCATATTTATGCATATTTTGCATTTTTATAACTTAAATGTAGGTAGGTACATACAATTGTTGGGAAAAATCATAAATCATATTTGGATAACATTGAAAAATATCTTTAAAAATATTATGTTTGGTTAGGTACAATAGGTTAGTTTAATAGGTTAATTTTGAGATTTTGAGGAGGCCGAAGCCTAAAACCATACTATTATAAAATTGAATTAAAAAAATTTAGTGAATGATTGGGAGGGCTGTTAAAGTTGTTGGTGGAGCTTGGCTATACAGTTTGCCCTATTTTCGCATAATAAATTATGGTATGTTATTGTATAGGTCTCTTTGTGACAAGACTGTGTTAAAACTATAATTGACATCTACATTCTAGATTGACTAGATTGTACGAAGAAATGAAAATCAGTAGATACGTGTTCGTTTATCACGGTGTTCGCATATCACGTTATTCGTTATTACATATTTATTAACCTAGTATTTTATGCCAGTATTTTTAAAAATCAAGTTGTTTTATTTCACAATAGTTTAAAAATGTCCAAAACATGCAATAGTGTACTCCGTCCATCACATTAACTCTACACTGCATGACATTTTTTTTTTGCTAAAAAAATTATATGTTATATAGTTCCATTCAATAATTATAGGAAAAATCATAAAAAAAAAAAATATTTTTTTTTTCCCGGTAGAACTAAAGGTTTAAGTGTATAATGCATATATGCACTTGCATGCAGTTACGATGCCTAATCGAAACCCGGTTGAATTACCTACATTTTCTTGTGAATAGGTACTATGATAAATTGATAAATATAAATATTATAACACAACGACAATATAATATAATATAATAAATTATTATTATGATACTAATAATAGTTTATTTTACTTCTTATTACATACAACTAATTTTTTACATATACTTTGAATTTTTAATTTTTATGTTACCTAACTAAGAACAATGAAAATCAACAAAACAGTTTCTATCGTTATTGTAACATAAATATACACAACATTTGGAACATTCTTGTGAACGACTGAAATTTGCATTTTGGCATTTTGCATACCCGTCTTTGCTGTTCATAGTTTGGCCAATGTTCTAGACAATCTCTTCTTATCTCGTTAAACGGCGCAGATGGTGTTTGTGTTCGTTTTTTTTTAAATATTTTCTTGTATTTCGAATGAACCTGAGGGCCTGCCTTTTCCTCGTTTGGCGATTCCACTTTGCATAAGAGTTACAGATAAATGTTCTCGGAATTTGGCCAATGGCATTGTGTTGCCCGTAATTTTTTTGTACATTAGCCATGAATTCACGACTGTAATATCTAATAAGTGATAAAATATTTTTATGTACCATTTTTTTGATCTCATTATTATTCTGTACCGTCCTATCAATGAATCCATCAGATCAACATCACCCATGTGCTTATTATAGACTTCGATAATTTTTGGCCTCTCAACGTCTACATTTTTTTTTTGTTGTTTTTTATCGTATCTACGTACTTTGGTTGGTTCGAGGGCGCCAAAGAAAGTGGAGGTAACATTTACAATTTTATTGTCTTTCCACGACACTGTTGTAATTGGTACACCATCAACTACTGTTAAACATTCATCATATGTTCCTCGAGGTTTTTTAAGCATTTCTTTTTCAGGCATAAGCGCTATATCGGGAAATCTATTGTTTTTTAAAAACATGCTTTTCTTAATTCTACTTAATACATGAACTAAAAAGTTGAAAATAAACTTACTTTTAAAACAATTTCTTAATGAAACTTCAAGGTTATCAAGATATTACTAAAAGTGTATTTAAAATGTATTTGTTGCAAAATTTTTAAAACTTGTGAATTACAAAAAACGAAAAGCATGGGGCTCCTATGAGTTAAGAATATCTCTTACAAAATTGGAAGTATGATCAATAATCTTTAAAATACTTATCATAAAGTTTATCTAATGATTCAGTTGTAGAGTGAATTTACATAGGAGTTATCATAAGTGCCCCATGCTTTTCGTTTTTCGTAATTCACAAGTTTTAAAAATTTTGCAACAAATACATTTTAGATACACTTTTAGTAATATCTTGATAACCTTGAAGTTTCATTAAGAAATTGTTTTAAAAGTAAGTTTATTTTCAACTTTTTAGTTCATGTATTAAGTAGAATTAAGAAAAGCATGTTTTTTTTATTTTTTATTTTTTATTATTGTATTATTATACATACACATCAGTCTATCTTCACTTCAAATGCCAATCACAAAATCCGACGTCGGTATTGATGGATGAGCAGCCGTCGTTTGGGGATGAGGTGCGGGACACGTCGACGACGACTACGACTTTTCGACTATTACGACAATAGACGGCCATTACCTCGGCGGGACGAGCGTTCCACTCTAATAGGTCCACATTTCATGAGAAGCTCCTCCAGTTGGAGCTTTATTATATATATATATATTTTCCGTGTGTGCGTATAGGAAAACCGATGGCAATTGTTTATGTATTGTTATTACTTATTATTCGTATAGTCATATAATAAAATATTATAATACCGTATTCCAACCCGGGTGAGTACGTGACATGCGTAGGTATCAATTAGTAAGTATAATAATATAGTGGAGGCGACGATGACGCTGTGTCCTATTATAGCTATATCCTATAGTATCATACCGATTGACGGTCCGCTGGTGCAGTGAGAGGTGCGAAACACTATTTTTTCGCACCGAAAAGTATATTGCTTTATGCGAATAATAACGAAATTAATTTCGTATAACGGGCATGTCGGTCGTGCGATGGGTAGTATATTATAATATGAAAACGACGACGTCGATATTATATTTATACACTATTGATGGGGCGTTGCCTGTTATATAATATAAATATAAGTTAGGGTTACTCCAATAATAAATAAGAAATAATATTGTGATTGAGTGGACTGTATAATTAAATAAAAAAATCACACAATTGAATTGGTATGATAATATTTGCCAGTTTGACAATATAATGAATGTGTAATACTGCTTAGTATAAACTATAACAATAAACAAATATATTGACTCTGTCCAATGAATATACTAATAAAGGTTTATGATTTAAATGGTATTTTAACACATAAATAACCATATGAATATGTTTTATGCCTCAGACGGCTCTTATAATAATATGACAATAAATAATAAATAGTAATTTATGACCTATGTAACCATGTGATGCACCAGATACCTTAGATATGTTTATGGTGCCACGTGGTGCCACGTGGTGCCCAGATCCGTATATAATAATTTTAATGTTACAATAAAAACAACAAGTTGATCTGGCACACTCACATGGACACCGCTAAAGCATAATACGACGACATTACAGTACCCTGCAGACAATAATACAAGCAGTCAAATCAACCATCGAAACACGAGTTGTTCACCAACGACGATTAAAATAATATAGAAAATAAACCTTCTGCAAATATAATAACATTTAATAACCGCAGCAGAAAGTGGCCAAACGATACATACCATAAAATATATACATATATGATCGACGTTCACCGAATATTATACTGAAGATGATGAAAAACAAATCAATCAACGCATATGACGATGAGAAACCGAAAATACAAAAAAGAAAACTGATTATAAGCCACAAGTTTACGTGTCGAGAGCACCGAAAAAAGAACAAAAACCGAAGGGAAACATGGTAAGATGGATCAAACCGAAAAAATTAAAAGAAAAATAATATGAACGTAGTAACGGACCTTCAGTGCCTTAGGTATAGGTACACAATTTGATAATTATACAATCATGGTGAATCTAGTGGCACTGATTCAATGACTGCGCGATAAGTGGATAATTACTATAGCACCAAATTTGATGCACAATATTTATAATGATAATATTATACTGATTAAGACTGCTTGTGAGCGTGAACACTATGATGTACCTATATTTTTATCGCATCCTGTGTATCATAATATATACGCACGGCATATATACGGTTATTGTTTTAAATCGAACGTTATTATGTGTATATAATAATATTATGTATTGCGTATTTAAACGCCCTCCGCAAAGATAGTCGTATTATGATATACGCGTCACGTCTGCGGTTTATTATTGTGTGTCTACAAATATAATATCTCAACAACAACTATATAATATGAATTAATAATTTTACGAGTTGATTTATACAAAAACTACCTACATTAGATTATATATTATTATCATATATTTGGATCAATATACCAGAGTTTAAACTGGTTCTCATAATAATTAATAACACATATTATAGTGTAGAATTTGTGTTTATAGAAAAAACACAAAATTAAGAATTTTTAAATATATCTATATATAGGATTCTTAAAAACCAAAAACCATCAATATAATAATTTTCAAAACTGTTTCTATAGTAAATTATAATAAAGTTCAAGTATATACTGATGTGTGGAAAGTGAGTTTCACAATCAGGTATTCAAAAACATTGTAAAACAAAATCAAAAATCTTTTAATTTATTTCGGAATCAGTATACGATTGATTTTATGATTAGTAATAATATGGAAGGTAAATAAATAAATCGTATTTATTAATATATGATTATAATAGTGGATAATATACGGAGTGAAAATTCTTTACAATTCATGTGACCATATTATATTATTCACCTACTTTTACATTATATTTAAATATTTTTAATTTTCTAAATATAATAAATATTGCCATATAGAAGATAGAACCACTTTAAAATCGGTGGCAGACGGTTTATATACAATTTTAAAGGGGTTCAATATAGGCAAATTAGTTAATTTTTCTATAAATATCAGTATAATTTAATTTGTTTGGAAAAAATAACGTGAAAATGTAATGCGTGGCTTCTGATATATTGTTACAATAGCAGTTGAAAAATATTAAAAATACATAGGTACCTACAATTTTTTTTAAAAACCATTTAATGTTCGAATTTCGACAAAATTTATCATATTTAAAATGTAATAATTATTTTGTAGTTCAACATTTATAGCTAAGGATTGAAAATTTAAAAAAGGTTCTATGTAAATAGGTTATATATAATTTTTACCTTATTCACAATAATATCATCAAATATACTTAGTAAAATCATAGGCTGACTGTTCGTTTTCGCAAAGAATCGTTTTTCTTATACATAATGGTATTATATAATGACTATGTGCAATTAAAAAATTATCTCAATACAAAATACAATTTGAAAACCAATATAGATTAATATAGAATTTAAAATGAATAATATAAATCCATGTTGTTCATCAACATTTATGTTTTTCAATAAAGGATTAATTGTTTTATACACACCATTGCAATTAGTACAAATGTTTAAAATATTTTTGGGATTATTGAAGTTATTGAAATTGGACGATAGTTTGTTACTTGGCTATATATCATCTATTCATCTCCCTTGGTAATTTTCGATACTTGTAAAGAAAGATACCCGATGATAAAGTCTTATTAAATCAATAATAGTTAGGAAAACAGTTAGGATGTACAAATTTGCATCCAGTAAAAAAAAAAATAGGTAGCTTAGTTGATATTTTGTTTGGACCTGCACATGTTTTTGTATTCAACAAATACAATTCTAGAATTTTCAAAGACATCTTCTCAGTTCAACTCACACAAGCGACAAACATTAAAGTCGAGAGTAGGTATAGATTCAAATGATCAGGCTTATATTTATTGAAAATAATTTATAGTTGTTTGTTTAAATAAGTACCTAGGTACACTAGAAAAATAATGAGCTAAATAGTTTGTGTTCTTCACTAAAATTAGTTAAATTGTTGTACGACATATATATACTGGTATAGCAGAATTAAGTCGTTTAGTATTTATAAATGTCCTGAATAATTTTATGATTTTATGGCTGGAATTTAGAAATAAAGTTATTATAATCAATTTTTTTTTGGTTCTTACTTAGAACACGAATATTCAAAAAACGGTTGTAGTTAAATTGGGTTAGTGATCGTTTAAAATAATATTATATGAGCTATTTTTTTTGTAAAATGTTAGGTTTTTAATATATTACTAAACCATAAAGGATACTTTGGTTTACTAAGGATACTTCTTTGGATATTGTAAACATATTTTCATAAAAAAAATAAAATGCTTCATTTATAAATTATATTTAAACTTTTAAGTAGGACAGTAAAATACTGAATGTTTGGGGTGAATAACTTGCTTTACAAATTCTAATTTTTGGGTTACAAATAATTACTAATTGTTTAGTGGGCTTGTCTTTGAAATTATATACTTATGTACGTATCCTTAGTGCAATATGTTTTAAGTAGGTAGTTTAATGTTTTGGGGTGGTTTATATACTATTTACCTAGATAAATTAAAACGTAAATTAATATTTAAATCAAATTTGTATTGGATAAACCTATACTTAACTGTACAAGACTCATATTTTGTGAATTAAATGTGCAAAGTTTTAATAAAATATTTTATACAAAATATGTGCTTTCTATTATATTATAAATATACACATGTGATATTTATTGTTAACCATAATATAACAATAAACAATTTTATATAGTGTTGTAAAAACTAAAAAGATATTTTTTAAAAAGTATTTAAGTTATCACTCAAATACTTTTTAGAAGTATTTGAAATAATATTAAAATACAAAAAAAAATTCTTTAAAAACTTGTTTATTGCATTTTAAAAACATAATTTGTTCAAAAATCTTAATACTGTTTGGTGATTTGTCACCTTGGTTCTTTTTTATATGAAAGTTGCTCCCTCCACCAACACTGAACTGTAACACTTTCTCTGCAGGGAGGTATTTGTATTTGGATATCCATTATCCATGATCACCGATAATGATAATTGACTACTATTTTCTTTGTAAATAGGTACCTAGTATTGATCTAGGTAATAATATTTAAAAATAGTAAAATTATTAAGTATAATTTTACAGTCAATATGAAAAGCATTACCTAATCAAAACTAAACAGCTATAATATTACTACAGACTTCGATATCGAAAATAAATCGTTTCCTGGAGAAAAAACATTTAATTAAGCTATGTATAGATGAAAATCAACATCGAATTGTCCATAAATGAAAAATATAAAATATTATCGTTAAATAATCGTTTTTTCTCAAATACTTTACAACACTGAGTCTATAATTGTAACCGAGATGGTAACACAAGATACACTAATGATTTTAAACTATTTGTATACAATTTACATTTTGTTTACTGTCCTAATAATCCTAAGAGTTAATCCTAATATAACAATTTTAACAAGGCTTATATTTATTAAATAGGTAGAATAAATACCAGATTCTATAAAGTATAAATACATAACTTTATATTGTAAAATTTTACCATAAATCACGATTCTATTTAGAACTTCACCCTCCCAAATCCCAACTTGCTCGGCTTAGATGGAATGTTGTACCTATATATGTTATCAATTTGTTTTTATGTATTATAGTACACAACATAAAGTATTATTGTAATTATAAAGTTTGGCTTTTCATCTTTTCGCATATTGCATTATAATTTAAAATAAGTAAGTGCAATTTAAAAATTTGTTATATTAAATATTGTCGGTCGATTTCGTTTTTAGATTATTATGACACCTGAATTATAATAGATTCTATATTGTATAATATAGGCATAATTCAATATTTGAGTAGGTATTAATGTACAGGTATCATTGTACATAATAAATTATATTTGGTGCGCAATATATTCTTTGAAGTTATGCTTACAATATTTACCAAACCGGCAAACTCAATGGCAAAGTATTTATCTAAAATAGCAACTTACACTAAATATTGTTCACACTGAATTTTTCCAATTAGATTACCTCCTTGAGGCTCAGGAACATTTATACATCACCTAAAACACTAAATTACTTGTTAGTTATTGTTGTAATATGTTATAGCTACCTTTAGGCTACATTCATCATTTACTATGGTATATTATGTGGAACTGTTAGTGGAAACAGTTTTTTCAGAAGAAGTTTTTCCAAACAAAATAATCTCCTAAATGCCTTGAGTACCTACATGCATATTCGTTTAGTCAGACGCTGACTGGCTATATACTTTTTATAGCAGGTAACCTATACATTGGTGATTGGTACATTCAAATAAGAACTCATAGGTACCACTCACCTATATTCATACATAGTAGTGGATCTAGGATTTTTTTATGGAGGGTGCTAATGTTAAGGCTTGTATTCTGTATACTCCATAATAGTCCATACTGATGGCACGACTTTTTTTAGTCCTCAAAATTAATGTTCTTAATATTTCAACATAATAAAGGTGGGTAAGTGGATGTCACTCTGCTGTACTGTACATTACAAGTGGGTCACTGTATAATGGATGGTATTAAATTTGAATTAAATGATATAATATCATTGTATAAGAAAAACGATTCTGAGCGGAGACGGTATGTCAGTCTAGGTGTAAGACATATTATTATATACTTATCTATGGTATTAAATTCTATGGAATATATGAATAAATTATTCATTGCCCCTTAAAATATGCACAGTCTTATCATTGACCATATAGCCCAGTCAAATTAGACCAAAAATCGACAAAGTTCGGAACTAATTCCACGAAAGCAGGAGTTTGATTTATTTTTTAGTTTATACCTCACTGATGAACATACTAAAAGTCCTGACACCTGCCCCCTGTGCGTAGCTCTCTTCAAAGGGTGGCGCGCCCCTTTCACTATTTTCGCTTATAACTCGTCAGCTTTTCAATTTACAATAAAAATACCTATGACCAAAATTAAAGACCATAACATTTAACATAGACTTCATTTACTTTTTGTATATATATGTTGCAATAAGCGTTATATTTTTAAAAAATATAAAAAATAAAAAAATTTTATCTTTTTTTTTATCGTGTTTGAGGTAAAACCATCAATGATACGCTAAAATGACCTATGACAAAAGTTAACGAGCAGATAATTTTACATAATATAACGTTAAATTATTTTAACAATTTCAATTACCGTAAGTAATAGTGTTTTTTATATCAGTAGTGACGATATAATTTAACAATTTGTTGACAATTACAAAATACAAGAATCAGAAATTTAATTACAATCTACTAAAAAAAAATTGCCGAAAGCTGAATTTTGGTAAGTATGTGAGTTGTTTATACCTTACTTATAAACATACCAAAAGTCCTGGCACCTACACCTTGTGCGTAACTCTCCACCCCTCTACAAAGGGTGGCGAGCCCTTAATAATATAATATAATATAACGTTAAATTGTTTTAACAGTTTTAATTATTGTAAGTCTTAAAATGTTCCGTCCATGAACACGTGATCACTTTGTGATAATATTTCTAGGCAGTCTTGAGAAGCAAATATAACGACTATTAATTGATGGATTATCATAGAATAAAAACTTTTGCTGATTATGTTCTGCTGTCATCGTCCACTTACCCTCTAATACGAATCGTAATCGTAATCGTAATCGCTCGGTGTCAATTGTCCGTGTTCTAAAAATATCAGGTGCAAATAGTCCGATATCGGCAAAACCGTCGGGTGTCAAAAGTCCGTATAGGTACCGGTTCATATACGTCGACAGTCGACAGTCGATGTTTTTACAGTAGTACTGCAGTCAATAGTGTACACTGTAATTGATACATTAAAGTCGAAATATTTATGCGAGTAAATATTATTTTTAAATTAACGTTCTCAGTTCAATAAGTGTTTATAAAAATGGCCAATTTATGTTTTATATGTGATAAAGAACTAAGTGTTGAAAGTGAATGTGTTTCTGTAAAGGCTAAGGGCATAGGAAATCTTATAAACTCAAGTAAAGCGCGATTCGATAATAAATGGAAGTCATTAGTGAATTTAGAAAATGTACTTGTTCACAAAGATTGCCGAAAGAGTTACACAAGACCAGACACCATAAGGAAATGTGTTAATGAAAAAGAAGGTACAAGTAATATATCACCTGTCAAAGGTAAGCTACGTTCAAATTATATATTCAAATTTAAAGAAAATTGTTTATTCTGCGACAACGAATGTTCAAAAGAGTTAGAAAAAAAATTGTGTAAAGAACGTCGAGATACTATAATACAAATATCTACCTTTCATTTCAAACAGTCAATTATTGACGTAGCGAACAAAAGAAATGATGAATGGAGTAAAGAGGTGCTCAAACGGTTGAATAGTGTGATATGTTTGGTATCCGAAGAGTCGAAGTATCATAAATCGTGTGAACGTAAATTTTGCTCGACAAATCCAGTCGATGAAAATAAGAAAAGAGGGAGACCACAAGATGAAGATTTAGCAAACGCGTTTTCTAATTTATGTGATTTTTTAGAGTCAGAAAATGAATGTCAATTTGGTCTAAATTTTTTGCATGAAAAAATGGAGGGAACGTGTGATGAAAAAACTTTAAAAAATAAATTGATAAATAAGTATGGTGACGATATAATTATTACAACGAGCCGTGGAAGAAAGTCAGTAGTGAGTTTTAAAAATACAGGATTTAAAGTATTAACAAATGCATGGTATGATTCAAAAAAAGAAAATGAAGAAGAATAACGGTTAAGAATAGTTGAAGCAGCTGCTACTATAATACGAGAGGATATAAGGTCATTTGTTTATGAGACCGATTCATTTCCTCCACCAAATCAATTTATGGATGATGTAAAACAAGATATACCAAAGACCTTATTATTTTTTTTGTCTGAAGTTTGTGGTAAAAATAAAAAAAAAAAATCTCAAAAATATGATAATAAATTTGTGGCTTTGGCGCATGCCATAATAAATTGTTGTAGGCCTCGCTCGTTCATTTCACCAATTTTACTGGGACTTGGTCTTTATTTGCACAGACATTTTGGTACAAAACGGGCTATAGATATTTTTTCAAACTTTGGATTTTGTGCTTCATATACCGATGTTTATGTTTTTGAGACATCATCTTTACTATACCCACAACCCAAAGTTAACCGAAACAGTTTTTCACAATTTGTTTTTGATAACTCCGATTTCAATATTAATACGATTGATGGTTATAATAGTTTTCATACAATGGGTGGAATTCAATGTGTAGTGCCCAAAAATTCTATACAGTGGAATGAACGTATACAGAAATTAAAAACTGTTGTTACTGCAGAAACTATGGGCAATATTGCATCAATTCCAATTATTTCATATGAAAAAACGGGTAATATGAATAACAAAATAATAATACAAGATTTTAACATTATTAGGCCTACTGTTTATAATATGACATATGTGTCCCCCAGCGAATTGCATGGATGTGTGCACAGTGGCTTGGTGTTATAAAATGTCCTGGTTGGAATGAATTTATGGAAACTATAACTGACTCTCCGGAATATCAAGAAACGCAAATTAGTTTTTTGCCATTTGTAAACTTACCACCAAGCTCGCCCGATTGTATTCATTCGGTTTTGATTTTCGCAGCTCAAGAATGTAAAAAATTAAACCAAAGAACGTGTTTTGTAACTTTTGACCAACCCTTATACATAAAAGCACGAAATATTGTTGAATCCTCTAAATTAAATCCACAAATAGTAGTAAGACTTGGCGGGTTTCATCTTCTTATGTCATTTATGGGTTCAATTGGTTATATTATGGCTGGTAGTGGTTTGCGAGAATTATGGAAAACTATATATGCAGCCAATTCAATTGATAAAATGATGACAGGACATGCATATTCAAGAGCAGTACGTGCACATAATATGTTAACTCCGCTTTGTCTTTCAAAAATAATTTTGGACGAAATTGAATTAACTGAAGAATATAAAATCACTTTAAAAAATTATATTTCAAGTACAGATTATATAACGTCCACTTTGGAAGATATATAAAACCACGAAATAATTCAAGATCTCATACGTAAAGTAGAAAATCAAATAAAAATAATTGCTTCTAGAGGTAAAACTGCTACGCTTTGGATACAATATTTTTATTTAGTCCATATTCTTCGCCAGTTTATTTATGCTGAACGCATCGGGAGTTGGTATCCGCACTATTTTTGCAGACAATAATGTATTCTTATTGTAAATTTTATGGTCTTTAATTTTGGTCATAGGTATTTTTATTGTAACTTAAAAAACTGATGAGTTATAAGCGAAAACAATGAAAGGGGCACGCCACCCTTTGAAGAGAGGTGGAGAGCTACGCACAAGGTGTAGGTGTCAGGACTTTTGGTATGTTTATAATTGATGGTTTTACCTCAAACACGATAAAAAAAAAGATAAAAATTTTTTATTTTTTATATTTTTTAAAAATATAACGCTTTAACATTTTAAGACTTACAATAATTAAAATTGTTAAAACAATTTAACGTTATATTATGCAAAATTATCTGCTCGTTAACTTTTGTCATAGGTCGATTCAGCGTATAGTTGACGGGTTTTGCTCAAACACAATAAAAAAAAGATAAAAAAAATTTATTTTTTATATTTTTTTCAAAGTATAACACTTATCGCAACATATATATACAAAAAGTAAATTAAGTCTATGTTAAATGTTATGGTCTTTAATTTTGGTCATAGGTATTTTTATTGTAAATTGAAAAGCTGACGAGTTATAAGCGAAAATAGTGAAAGGGGCGCGCCACCCTTTGAAGAGGGGTGGAGAGCTACGCACAGGGGGTAGGTGTCAGGACTTTTAGTATGTTCATCAGTGAGGTATAAACTAAAAAATAAATCAAACTCTTGCTTTCGTGGAATTAGTTCCGAACTTTTTCCTAATTTGACTGGACTAATACTTCTTATACTATGGTAGATTGTATGGATAGGACATAATATTTTGATTTTTCAATTTAATATATCCCCGAATAATATTTTTAAATTACAACAAAAAACCAAGATCGTTAATATTTGTTTAATTAGGTAATTTCGTCCTATTTTCGTATTAATTGGCTCGAGTAAGAAAAACAATCGACATCAAATGTCATTCTTATAATCATTGTACATAATAAATGATATTTGGTGCACAATATATTCTTTGAAGTTATGCTTACAATATTTACCAAACGGCAAACGCAATGGTAAAGTATTTATCTAAAACAGTAACTTACACTAAATATTGTTCACACTGAATTTTTCCAATTAGATTATCTCCTTGAGGCTCAGGAACATTCCTACATCACCTAGGTACTATTGCTCCTTGTTGACTAGAACTAAAACACTAAATTACTTGTTAGTTATTGTTGTGATATGTTAAAGATACCTTTAGGCTATATTCAGCATTTACAATGGTATGTTATGTGGAACTGTTAGTGGAAACAGTTTTTTCAGAAGAAGCTTTCCCAAACAAAATAATCTCCTAAATGGCTTGAGTACATGCATATTATACCAGTAACTGTATCTTGCTGACTAAAATTGAAAAAAAAAAACAACTATATTAATTAAATTATTTTGAAAATTGTATTAATTTAATGTCTCAATATCATATTAAATATAAATGTATTAAAATAGTAACCAATCAACATTATTCATAGTCCAAACACATAGTTTGTTCCAATATAATATAGCAAACATTCTTGTGTTATAGTTGTGAACCTATAGCTTATACTTGTATTATTTATTATTATCTATGCCTCATGGAGAAAAATAAAAAAATAACAATATAAACATGTAAATGTTTTAGTTTTATGAATAATTAGTAACTCCATCACCATAACCATTACTATAAAATTTAACAGTAGAGGCCATAGTCGATGCTTAAGAATCAAAAAGTAATGCTATTTCTTTACTTAGGCAAAAGTCTTGTTTATGAATCTCGTTTGAGTCATAGTATAGGTATAGCTTAAGCAATAAGTATTCCTTAAGTAAATGTTGGTAATTTAAAAATTAAAAAAATTGTGATAGTAACTAAATCCACATCTGACTGCAGCTTTGTAAGATAAATAATAATCGTTTTAATGTATCTGTTAATTTGTTTTAGATGTATCATATTCATAACCAATAAGTAATACATATTAGGAATGTAAATACTATACAGAGCTTACATGATTTGATTTATGAAGGTTTGAATGTGATCGTTGTAGCTTGTAAATAGCACATTAAGTTTAAATTGGTTTTTGCAATAGTTTTAATTCTTTGTAGATACATTTTACCTAGAAAAAATACACTGTCGTATAACATAAAATTTACATACTTAATACGCAAGCAAGTTAGTAGCCAAAAACTATGTTGGACTTACGAAAATCACATTTAAGGTGAACGGTTTAAGTTTGTAATTTGTAGGGGAGAGTGTTGTACCTTGGCACCATTTTTATTAAAAAATTTCTAGCACCTTCAATTTTGAATATTAAATGTTCATTCTTACTATACATTTAGGCAATATACATAAGTATATGGTACTTTTTTGATATGTTAATTAATAAATGAATATATTAATTTCATTATATGTGTTTTGATATTGCTATGTTTAAGTACCTACATAATTTATTTTACTAACCACTAGGTATTGGTTTAATGTTTACCTACTGAAAACATTGCATTTATTATACAATTTATTATACTATTAATATTAATAGTGAATTGTTGTTATTTATGTTTATTATTGTGTTATTAACTCCAAGTTTTGAGTTAATACTGACTTAAGAACAGAGTCAAATACTATGAATAGTCAATAGCTTTTAATTAATATACATTTTCATATTATAGAATGAAATAATAAACGTAAATGATTTAAGTCCTCATGAAATAATATTTTCCCCATAATATTTTCAAATTTCCACAAAATAATTAAAATTCTTATTCTTTATTTAAATATCTAGTTTCTTTAATATTTTAATTTTAATACCTTTAGTAACAGCTTACGATAGAGGAACCTTGAATTCAATTTTCAAGGTTTTTGACATAGTGAAATGTTTTAGAGTTTTAATGATATTAATTAAGTATAGAAAAACGTTTTAAATATCAACATGTCTAGAAAAAGATCAAAAAGAAACAACACAAATTATAACATGTAAAAAAAATTCTACTTAAACATTTGGTAAAAATTTAAAGGATCTAGGTACGATTATCCGATTTTGAATCAAAACAAAAGATCAAAATTGTTATTTCATGCTCAAATTAAAAGGTTAGGTCTAACCTAGCCCCCAGATGAAAAAAAAGCTTGCTTCGTTCGCAGGTACATTAACCAAATTTTGGTGAATTATATTAGCTACCTTAACAAAAGAAAACAATGTATAACAAAACACATTTTAAAAATCATTTATTTATTTTTTAATTTAAAAAAAATAACAATCGTTACCCAGAGGTGGTTTTTGTTTATTTAATTTAATTACTTGTAATTTTCGCTACAAATAAGTACATTTAAGCGACGAAGTATATTTGCGCCAAAATATAAACTTTAAACATGTACTTTGCGCCACCTCTAAAATTAATTTTGGTAATTTGCGCCACACATTCAATTATAATAGTTGGAATTTACCAACAGATGAATTTACAGACATCCCATCGAAAATACCAAAGCGTGCCGGATATAATATTATTGTTGTGTTCTACTAATAATAAATAGAGAAGATATCGATTACTTCTAAATTAATAAAAATTATCAACTGTCAAAATATCGAACAATATTGAACGGCAGTATATCCGAGCCTGGGCATAAACAAGTTAAAAAGTAAAGTTAAGTTAATTTTAATTTTTTAACTTACATTTTTTAAATTTAATCACAAATGTACAATTATTAAGAACATAATATTATTAAATATTTTTGCCATAAATATGTTATTTTTTAATTAAAATTATTTAGGTTATTTCCTGTGTTCAATACTATTTCTATATAACTAGATAAGTTATTTGTTTACAATTTCCAGATTATGTTGGTCGATAAATAATTTTACTATGTAATTTTTATTATTATAATTTTAATAAAAAACACATTTTTTTTGTCTATTAGAAAGTCAAATTAAATTTTTATGAGCGTTTGAAATACAAATTTTTATAACATTGGATATTCACTCGATTTCTCATGTGGCGATTTCCTTATTTTGTTGTAATTCAAAAACGAATAATTGTAGATATATGAACAATTCACTGAATGTTTATATTAGCATTTCGTATACATCATATAATTTTGAAAATATTTTGACTCTTTTTGAGCTGTTTACGGACATTTTCAGTTTTCAATTTTTTTAGTTTTTTTTTCTTTAAATATCAATAAAGTTTTATCTGTTGGGCCAAAATTGTTACAATATCAGTTGAAAAATATTAAAAATACATAGGCACAATTTTTTTTATAAGCATTTAAAGATCGAATTTTGACAAAATGTATCAAATTTAAATTTGAATAATTATTTTGTAGTTAAAAATGTATAACAAGATTCCACGTAAGTAGTTAATTCTGTTACCAAAAAATCTAAAAAATACACAAGCACAGTTTATTTTTATAGTTATTTTAAGTTCAAATTTTAACATATTTATAAACACATTAAAAAACCTAGAATATATATTTTATTTATTATGTTATTTTACCTAATGGATATTGTGATATGATTAATTTGGAATTTATTATAGGTCAATTTTTTTTATTACTATAGATAAGTATATAATATATCTTATACCTAGACTGACATATCGTCTCCGGTCAGAATCGTTTTTCTTATGCAATGATGTTATATCATTGAATTCAAATTTAATACCATCCATTATACAGTGATCCACTTGTAACCCACTGTACAGCAGAGCACCTTTTTTTTATTCGTTTCTATGGTAATAAACAAAGGGTTAGAAATTAAAATCCAATTTTTAGCGGATTTTCGTACTTTTACTGTGGTATTTACCTTGTCATTAAATAAATATTGATAAAATCGAAAAATGACCTCTTTAAAGTACCATATAGATCC